CCCCCCCCACCCCAGAAGCGGGGGGCTGAGGTCACAGGGCCGAGCCATGGCACGTAGGAGCCTGCGTGTGTGATGCGCAGCAGATGGGGGTGGGAACAGGGAGCAGAGCAGCAGAGCAGGCAGGGAGCAGAAAGCAGAGCAGCAGACCAGGTGGGGGGCAGGGAGTAAAAAGCAGAGCTGTAGAGGGGGCAGGGAGCAGAAAACTGAGCAGCAGATGGGGCCAAGGGCATAGGGCAGGGAGCACATAGTGGGAGATCAGGCAGGGGGCACAGGGCAGGGAGCCTAAAGCAGAGCAGCAGATCAGACGGTGGCATAGAGCAGGGAGCAGAAAGCAAAGCAGCAGACAGGGCAGGGGACCTGAGCACCACCCTGGGAGGGTGCAGGGCTTACATCTGCAACCTGCCTGCCCAAAAGCTGGGCCCCTGCTACCCTGATGGGGCCGGCAGGGAAACTGAGGCACGGGCAGAGTAGCACCGCTGGGCTCCAGCAGGCTCTGGGCCCCGCGCCGCCGGGGAAGGATACGTAGGGGTTGGTTTCAGACGGCAGCCCGTTGAGCTCGAAGATGTGGAGCAGGTCGTAGAACTGCCCGTGCGTGTCCCCGCACACGGTCACCTTCTCTGTCTGGAAGAGAGGCCGGGAAGCGGGGGTTGAGGGAGGGGGCCGGGGACACAGCACGTCAGGCTCCTCTGGCCTCCTGCCCCCTTTCTGCCCCCGAAGCTGCAGCTGGAAACACGGCCACGTCCGGGGGGCGGAAACAGGGCCACTGGTCTGGAAAGCAGAGATAATGCTCCTGCACCCCCCGCAAAGGCTCATGGGAGGAGTCTCCAATCCCTTGCCTCATCTGCTGCTCTGCTTCCTGCCCCTCTGCTCTGTGAGCAGAAAGCAGAGCAACGGAACAGGAAGCAGAGCAGCAGATCAGGCAGGGAGCAGGACACCCGGGAGCTGGGCTAAGTGGGGAAACCAAGGCAGGGCGTGAACCTGGACTGTGCCCGTGTGGACGCTCTCCCTCCACAGCAGCTGAATCCCCTTCGGGCAGGGTCAGGCCCAGCTGCTACCCCGCCCAACCCCCCCCCGCACCCTCGGCATTGCCTGTACCTCTTTCAACATGGTTTCTACAAGCGTGGGGAGCTTGGAGAGCACCTCCTTCACCTGCACCAGGATCTGCCAAGAGAGAAGGGGGTTGTGGAGGCAGAGAAAGAGCTGGGGCCAGCTGCCTGCGTGGTATGCTGGGATACAAGCCCCCTTTCTAAAAGGGGGTGACACTGGCAGCGGGCAGGGTTCCCTCCGGCCTCAGCTGCCGGGGTAAGAGTGAGGCTGAGAAAGGGGCAGGAGCAGGCCTGAAGTCTGCCTCAATTTAGCCAGACTGAAGCGGGCCTTGGTGTGAGATGGGCAACGTATGGGGACCTGGGAGGGGCCCTGGGAGGGGTGGGCGCTGCTCTGAAGGGGCCACTGTGCTGCCCCAGCACCCCGTGAGGGGGTTACCGTATTGCCCCACACCCCAAAATATAAGGTGCACCCTGGTTCTGAAAGGCAGAGGATGCAGAGGGTATAAGGGCTCCAAGGGGGGAGTGGACAGATGTAGGACCGAGGCATCCTGCCCCCCACAAGGTATGGATACCCCATGGCCATCGGTCAGAGTAGGGGGTTGGGGGTACCACCAATGTCCAGCTCCCAGTGTGCTAGGGACGGAGCTGCTCAGAGGACGCTCTAGCTCCATGTACCCCACACAACCCCTACGCAGCCAAGCTCCTGCCCCAGCCTCAGTGGAAGGGGGTGAAGACACCCCCAATATTCAGCAGCTGACTGGTGGGGGTGGGGGGTGCATGTCGTACGTGAGAAAGTACAGTAAAATGCAGTGAGCTTGGGGGGGCGGGGGGGCCTGACCTGGTAGGCACATTTTCTGTGGAGTTTCTTCTGATCCTTGTACCACTGCATCAGCTCCTTCATGAAGGCCAGCGTCACCTTCCCATCCTCCAGCTTGGGGCCACTGTACTCGTCCTCGATGGCTGGGGGCAGTGGGGGAAGCAGGGGCAGGGGGTGTTTATTAGGGGCAAGGAGTCAGCTGCAGAATTCAGGAGTGGAACCCCCTCTTCTGCCACCCACGCGGGTCCCCCGCTGCCACCCCCTGGACTCCCACGTTGGCCTCACTGTTGCCCCCAGAAACACCCCTCCTCCCGCTGGACCCCCACTGCTGTCCCCTGACCACCCAAGCACTGCTGGACCTCCCTCACTGTCCCCAGACCCGCCCCACCTGGCTTCTGGGGTCAGGGAGGGGGAAACACTTTGGCTGAACACCAAGCTGGCCGCCTGCGCAGGAACGTGGGTGGCTTGCTCAGAAAGGTGGGGCCCAGCTGGTGTGAACACCCCTCCCCACCCTCCACAGTCCAAGAATGAGGGAAAACTTCCAAGGTGCCGGCCACGGATGATGGGAGCTGCAGCGACACTAGCTTAGCTGCCATGAGATCGGAGTCCACCCCCTGCCCAGCTCCGGGGCTGCTCCAGCTGTCCCCCTCGCCTGGCGCAGTCAGCGGCTGAGCAAGGCATGGGCAGGGCGGTGGGGAAATCCCGGGCGCTGTGTGGGGGCCAAGCCCATGCGTCACCGTGGCCCATCTCCCTGGAGCTCGCTCCAAGTTTCAGCGCAAGCAGCTGACAGGAGCTAGAGCCAGGTGGCTCTGGGCTGGGAAGCAACTGTCGTGTAAAGCGTTAGGATCCCACAGCGGGGAGCCGGGGGGGGGCAGGTGACGGGCACCGTGGAGCCAGCCCTATAGGGCCGATCCAGGGGTCTCTGCCCACCCCTGCCTCAACTGCCACAGGCCACGAGCTGGAGGGAAGGGCCCCGACCGGCTGGGCTCGGACAGGACCCAACGTTATCCTCCGACATTGGCGAGTGGGGCCAGAGCACGTGCAGACACCAAGGGAGGCTTCCTGAGAAGGAAGGGGGAAGAAGGGACTTAGCTTGTCCCCTCATAGTGCCCTCCGGATGAGACCAGGGTGTGGCACTCACACGGCAGGGGACCTCCAGCCTCTCAAAGGTGTGGGACACAGAGGTGCTGGGGGCTCCTGGAAGACGACAGGCTCCTAAGTCCCTTAGGGGCTGAGGCTTGCTGAGAGCGTGAAGGTCCCTGCAGACACAGAGCCTCAGATGAGGGGCTCTGCCTGCCGGGATCCTGGGGTAAACCTCGCTGCGCTCCCAGCTGCTCACGATGCTTGGAGACCCCTGAGGCCAAGAGACCGAGGAGCCCCAGGTCTACTGGACTCAGGGCTCACGGAAATGAGGCCGCCTCTCACCTGTCAGCTTTTCTGGGCCTGGGGGAAATGAAGCTGTTCCTCCCCCCTCTGCCACCACTCTCGGGGTCCAGTCAGGAACCGCACCATGATTCTCTCTGTACGTGGAGCCGGGCAGGGGGGTCTCCCCAGAGACACCAGGCCTTTCCCCTACCTGGGGGGCTGCTGCTGCTGCCGAGGACGTAACACCAACACTGCTCACCAGTGGATAAAAATCAGCCTTTGGCGTCTCCAAAATTGCACCTCTGATGACTGGCACAGCAGGACCCAAACCCAACTCGTCTTCCGGGCTGTCATCACCCCTGCCCCAAGGGACTGCGGCACATCGAGAACACCTGAAGCCCTGGGAACGTCACTGTAGGCAACATCCTGGGAAAACCCTCTGTATCCACTGGGAGAAGACCCAATGCCGGTGCACTGGAGCCAGCCGTGCTCCTACAGCTCCAGATCCATTGGACGGGGCAGACGGACGCCGGGCGACGAGCTGCTGAGACGGGGGCCCCGCTCCGGGGTGGGGAGAACAAGATGTTCAAGGAGCCCTTGAAGGCTGGGCTGAAGAAACACGGCATCAACGCTGACACCCAGGACACACGAGCGCTGAACGGCCCCTGACGGCACCACAACGTACGATGAGGCATCGATCGCGTCGAGCAAACTCCCCTTGCAAGTTCAGGGCTAGGTCACAGCTAGTCCAGCCCCTGCCTGAGGCAGGATCGGCCCCGTCTGGATCACGAATGTCTGAACAACCGCCGCCAGCCCTGGCACTGCACCCAACCCCGCCACGGGGAAAGCAGGGTGCCACAGCCACCAATGTCCTGCTGCTGTGGAAGACTGTTAATATGCACTCCAGAGACCCAGGCCCAGGCTGTGCCCCCACAGCAGAGGAAGACAAACCCCCCAGTACACACCAGTCTGAGCAGGGGAGAATCTCTTCCTACCCCAGTGCAGCGTGGGGCTGAGCCCAAGCAGGGGGGCACAACCCTCCAGCCAGGACCCTGCGAGGTTGGTGCCAGCAGGAGCATTGGCGCAGCCCAGCCACATCCTCAGCCCCGGCTACAGCAGCGCCTCTGGGACAGGCTTAAAAACAGAGTTGCGCACGGAGCAGAAAGCAACCAGCACAGCCCAGAGCCTGGGCGATCCCCGCAGCCAAACGCAGGCGTCGCTATGCTTAGATCATCCCTAATCAGGGACTCCAACCTCTCCTGAAGCCTCCAACGTTGGAGACCACCCCCCACCACCCCAGTCGTCTCTCCCACAGCCTCCCTGCTCCAACGAGGAGGCGTTTCCCACGATCCGATCCAAACCAATTCTGCTGCAACTTCAAGCCAGAACCCGATAGAGCTACGTGAGTAGCGAGGAGAGCCAGTTCCCAAGGGAAATCAGACCCCCACCCTTTTTTTTGGCCTCTGAAGAATGCTTACGTGCAGCAGAAAGGAAGGCGGGGGAATCGCCTGCCAGCTCTATGCGCGCAGCCCAGCAGTCTGGGGAGTCCCCACAGCAGAGCACAGGCATCGCTGCACCCGGGTAACCCCCACCCAGCAGCTCCCCAGCCTCAACTTGACCCCTCCAGGGGTGGCGAGTCCACCCCTTCCCCGCTTGCTGCTTTACTGCTGCCTCCCTGCTCTGATGACGTCGAAGTTTTCCTGAGATCCAATTACAACAGACTTTGCTGCAACTTCGAGCCATGGGTCCACATCCCCCTCTCTGCAGCAAGGAACAAGAGGTGCTTTCCCTTTTCTTCACGGCACCCTTTTATGGATCACGGTACCGGCCTCCCCAGTGACTTCCCTGCTTGCAGGAAAGATGCACTCCTACCATCGAGGGACTGCTGACGCTGCAGCAGGAAAGCCTGGGGAGCCGGCAGCAATTAGCAGCAGCAGCCCCCGTGCCGTTCCTTGGACCTGGTTGGGAGCTGGACTGCCATGCCCCCCCCCAATCAAACGGCACCCTTGGAGGCCTCCGGTTGGGAGCGGTGTGGGAGCGGGGCATCTCCCAGGGTGGAGGGCTGGTCTGGTCGCGGACAGCCAGCACCCAGCTCCTTGCCCCATCGCCACACGGCTGCAGCTGCAGGTCTATGGGTGCTGTGACCCTTTCCTTGCAGACAGGATAGATCCACTCCTTGCAGATCAGCGATTCTCAGCCACGGATTGATCTCCAGGTTTCTCTTCACTCTGTGACCTCAGCCCGAGCTCCACGGCTCAGGGAGGAGCCTGGGAGAGGGCAGGGGAGGCCCCAGAAAACAGGACAGATGCAGGCGCTGGTCTCTTCTCCACCCCATAGCCCCCCTTGCTGTGCCCTGAGCTGCCGGCAGCATGGAAAGGGCCCCCAGGGGCTCTTGCTGCAGCCGCTTGTGGACGACAGATCTAGCCTGGACGCCTCTTCTCCTTGCCTGGTTCCTCAACTCTGACATCCTCGGAGCCCGAGGTCGGGCCATGCAGCAGCCTCCCGCCTGGCAGAGATCTGTGAGCTCCTGGCACGCACCCACAATTGAGGCCAATACCCAGCTGCTTTGTGCTCAGCCGGCTCCACCTCCATCGCTTGTCCCCTCCACTGAATCTGGGGCTTGGACAGGCCACGGGCCCCATCACCAGGGATCGGGTGCAGCATTAGGGCGGCTCCGGGGAAGAAGGCTGGCCATGCCCTCCGGCAGCTCGCTGATGATCCAGGGCAGCTCTGGAGCGGCTAGAAACAGCAGGCAGCGACGCAAGGAGGGGGCAAACCTGGCTCCCACTGCTCCCAGGCCTGCAGCCCACACTGCTCCGTCACCCCCGCCACAGCCAGGGCAAGCGCCCCTACCCCCTCAGTGACTGCCCCTCCAGGCCATCAGGCTCCTGCCAACAGCTATTTTTGGCTCCCGCGTGACTCATGCGAATGCCAGCATGGTCTGGGCCCCGCCCCCGGCTTGGGACACAAGCCAGAGGAAACCAGTCTTCCGGCCCCAGCTCTGGAGACACGTGGATGGCCAGGCCAGGACTCCCCAGTTCCATCTTTAGCCGGGGGGGGCCTGCAGTGAGTCAGCCCTCACACCCTTTCTGTTTCCCTGGGGCTCAAGCTCTCTAATACTGGCACTGGGAGGAAGGAGAGCAGCGTTCTGGAAAGCAAGCGGAGGGAAACTGAGGCAGGCGGAGGCAGGAGGGGTCTTCCAGAGAGACCCCCTTGACTTCTCCCTGGTCCCCAACATCCCATCTCTGTCCCCATTGGTCAGTCCCAGCCTCATCTGCTCATCCCGGGACCTTCTCTTCTCCAACACCGGGCAGGTCAGCCAGGCACGCTCCACCTGGCCCTTCCAGACACGTGGCCCCCCGCAGAAGTGGGTGCATTTCTCCCAACACTTCAATGGGGGACCCCTTCCCAGGGCTCAGGGGGAAGACCCCAGGCCCTCCCTAGAGGGGAACCCCCCATTCCCTGGCCGCAGGGGCCCCACTCACTCATGCTCTCGATGTCGAGGGAGTCGACGACGGACCGCTTGTGTTCGTCGCTGGCGATAGCCCGCTCGAAGGCTTTCTGCTTCACAATCTTGTTGCACTCCTGGTACTTCAGCTTGGCGTCCTTATCGTTGGGCTTCACCTTCACCACCTGCGGGAGAGGCGGCGGGTCACGGGCACAGGGGCGCCAGCAGGGAGGGCACAGCCACGCGAGGCTGCCCGACAGCCCCCAGCTGGCCAGGACGCGAGAGCGGGTCAGACGCCAAGGGACAGCTCCGGCCGAGGGAGGGGGACCCCGGGCTCCTTCCCCAGCTCCGGGAGGGGCCGACGGGGAGAGGAGCCGAGGCTTGGACGCGGCTGGCCGCCAGGACGCGTGGGTCCCACCCCGCGAAGGGAAGGCAGCAGGAGCTGGAGACGGGGGGAGCTGGGCTCAGGACGCCTGGGGTCTCCACCCAGCGACCCAACAGCCGGACGAAGAGTAGGGCAGCGCGATCCTTCCGGGCAACCCGGGCCTGGCAGGGCACGATCCTGCAGCCCGCGGGTGCCTAAATCTGGGGAGGGGAAGGGGCGGCAGGGCCCCGCGCGCGCGCGCGCACGCACCGTCTCATAGTCCCTCAGCGCAGCCTTGAACTTGCCCAGCGCCATGTTGCTGGCGGCGCGCCGATAGTAGCCCTTGACGTACTTCTTGTCCAGCTCGAGGGCGCGCGTGGCGTCGGCCAGGGCGTAGCCGTAGCACTCGGTGCGCAGGTAGGCCAGGCTGCGGTTCCCGTAGTAGATGGCATTGTCGGGGTTCAGCTCGATGGCCTGGCTGTAGAACTTGACCGCGTTCTCGTAGTCCTTGCCTGGGGGCGGCGGACAGAGGCGGGGGTCAGGCGGGCTCCTCGCCCCGGGGCCCACAACCCGCCCCGCCCCGCTGCT